TGAAGGAATCAGCTTGGTAAATACGGGTTAATAATACAAGACCCGCCGCAGAAGAACACAAAAACATCACACTCTTAATCTCATGGCTGTTAGACGAGAGATGAAGCTGCAGTCGTCATCAGCATTCAGCAGATTTGACAGCATACAGGCAACTGTACAAACAGATCTCTAAACACATGCGGCGGGACTTACACAACTTTAGTACTGCTCGTATTGAAGAAGCGATTGAGCGAAACCAGGACTCTAAAGTCTTTGCCAGAGATCTATCTGCCAGCAAGAGCCAACTGTCAAGGCTAAAGACTGAGTGTGGCAGCATCTTTTCGCGGGACACCTGAGATTTCAAGTGAGATTGAGAGGTTCTATGGGCGGCTGTACATATCATCATTGGAGCCACACGGAAGTGTTTATCGTTATTTCGATGATATACCGAACGTTAGTCTGAGCGAGATTAGAATGGCTCTCCAGCACCTTAAAAACGGTAAGGCCCCTGGCGAGGATAGAATGACAGCGGAGCTTCTGAAAGCGGGTGGAACAACGGTATATAAGGTCCTTCAGAAGCTCTTCAATTCCGTCCTCCATGGTGGCACTACTCCCGAGGCGTGTGCGGTGGTCTTGTTCTTCAAGAAAGGTGATAACGCTCTAGCAAGCTCTCGTAACGATGAGTAAAAGTAAAAATAGAGAATTGTGGAATCAGGAATGGAGGAAGCATTTACTCAAAATGGGATCCATATCCATCTGAAAATGTACACAGTTAACCGTATAGACAATAATTAACATAAAAAAAGCTAATAATACTAACAATAAATACTAAAAAAATTTAAATGTAAAATGTAGAAACGTAGGGACAAAGAATAAAGAGGCTTTATTATTGTCAATTTAACTTGTTATTATTATTTTAAGCAGTAGAGGCTGCTCCAAGTCAAATCCACTGCTTAACATGGGCTTCACTAACTTACAACTAGGCTGAGTTGTAACTAGTTAGAAGTAAATACATAAACACTTACGTCTCTCACCCAGAGAGATAGGTAGAGACTAAGGACTTCCATTAGGCAAGATCCTGATATTACCACTCACGCTTGATTTACGTTCATATATATATATATATATATATATATATATATATATATATATATATATATATATATATATATATATTGCTCGGACGTTAAGTTTTTTTTATAATTTATTTATTCATATTCAAAGTCAGGCCTAACATACTTCGTGAATGCATTTCTGCAGCATTAATTTCACTTACATGATTCTTCTGCCCGCCCAATACATAAAGACAGGGACGTAAACAGCATTGTAAAGACATACCTGCCTTTTTGATATATTTTTCTTCCATATACTTCTTCTAACTTCCCACAACGAAGAATGAAGGCAGGCATAGAGTAAATGGGGCCTTTTACTCAGCCTAATATAATGCCGTAAATCACGGTGTTGAGCTACCTGAATGCATCAAATTCCTGCGTGCACAAATAAGACGAATAATGTGTGTGTAATAATTGTATGTAGTAGCTCTATGAAGTGTGTTCTGGGGGCTGTCGGTGTCCCCAGTTAGAGAACATTTAAAGATTTTCCATTTCTATTTAATTTTGATCGAAAACTGGACTTATTTATTGTCTACCGTTAAAGTTGCTATTCAATATCATACCTACATAAAATTGTGATATACACACATCAAAAAATATTTGCGATAGGTTTGAAAATTCGAAATCTGTTTTGTTATGGTAAAATATAGAATTAGAATATAAAACACTAAAACGATTTAAATTTTTTTCATAAAAAGAAATTCCATTCAATTTTACGCTTATGCAGAAATCTGACTCAGGCAATTTTAACGGATTTAAAACATTTGTCAAAACAGTATCTTCGTTGATGAATCGAAAATCAGAAATCGTCCAAATAACCGACGTGTCTGCAGAACTGCTACTAGAACCGTTCAGCAAGGTGGAAAATCGGTGTCCTTGGGGTGGAATTATGATTGAAGACTGATTTCCGAGGATACAACAGCCCAAGGTTAGACTGGCTTGCCGGCTCGCCTAACTTAAATACAATAGAACACGCATAGAATGCTCTTAAGCGAGCTGTTTGTAACCGTCAGTCACCTACTAAGACAGTATCAAAGATCAGGGAAGCCGTTATTCAAGAATGGGTTACCGCAAGAAATGCTGGATTACTTGATCCTCAGCATGCCCAAGAGATCTCAGTATGTGTTCGAGCCAGGGGAAGGAGTTATACTGTATTAAATAAAAACCATTTATTAATAAATTGTTGTATAAGTTTGGTTAACAATTCTTTTTCGTTCCATCAAATTTCTGTTACAATTACATCAAGATTGTTAATCAATAAATAAAAGAGTTTCATTTTTTAATTTCAAACAGTGTATTTATATTTATAAAAAGATATAACGTAAACACTTTTCTTAATAAAGTTAAATTTTAAAAATATTTCAGCTTTTGTTAGTGATCACAAATATTTTTGATATGTCTGTGTATATATTATAGTATATATTATACTAAAGTAGGATGATCCTTGCTGGGACATAATTAACCCACAAAACCATAAACGGACGTCGGTATTTAGATGTAACATTATTAATCAACCACAAATCACACTATCACATTATAATTAATCTCATAGGAGAGATTAACAGAGAGATTAAAACAAGCTGTCATTGGAAACTAGAGTTATGAACGTATTAGGTAACATTGTTGAATTTACGCTAAAATCAATTTATTACCAATTGTAAAAGTAAGTTATAGAGTGTTTTTTTTTTAATTTTACTTGGTACCACTTTGTAAAATTATCAGCACCCGGTTTTTGCTGTCCAGTTCATCTCACAGAGATGATTAACCAGCAGTTAAGATTTTAGCTTTAGTCGTAAGGAGCGAAATGGTTACGCACAGATGAATGCAATATTATTTATCGCGTTTATCTACACGTATAAACTCTGTGAAACGAGTATAATATTATGTTTTTTAACGTTATCATTACCGTGGCAGAGTATCAAACATATCGAAGTCTAATGCTGAACCTAGGTCTTTCTAAAGATTGCCTCATAGGGGGGTTATTTGCCATAGCTGCCACGCTTGGCGGGTAGGTTTGCTTGTATATTTTTCATAAAATATTATTTTTTATTCTTGTTTTGGAACTCTTTAAGTTGTTTTATGTACGTATATAAAAAGCAGCAATGGAAACGTTTATGCTTGAAAATATTTAAGTAGACAAAATAACATAAGATGATAAAAATTATGATTGCCCAATTTTAATTTTTCCCTATCCTCTAAATTGACATTTGTTACCTTAATATCGCGGAGCCGTGATAGCTCAGACGGTTAACGCTCGCTGTAAATATATATATATATATATATATATTTTATTTAAGTGCTGAATAAGAAAAAAAAATATTTCGAAGACATGTGAAGTTCGCCAACACGCATTGGAACAGCGCAGCGGACACTTCCTTGCCCTAAAACCCTCTCAGAAATGAGGGGAGGCCTGTGCTCAGCAGTGGGACGTATATAGGCTGTAACTTTACTTACCTTACTTTACCTGAATATCTCTGAGATGCAATTTAACAAACTTGATCGACTTCAAAATCTTTGTATACAGTTCATATTTTGACTTCGTAAATATGACCATGTCCCGGAATACCACACTAAACTCAAGTGGCTTCCAAGCCGCATTCGTCGCAATTCTCATATTCTTTCTGCTCTCTACTTCGTTTTATTTCACTCTATCTAAAATGATGTTTTAACTTCTGTCCTTACTTTTCATCTTTCTCTTCAATATCCTGCGTATATCTCAATATTTTAGGATAAATATTTTCCTAATCTTCCAGTAAAAGTGCAAAGAAACTCCTTACCTCTGTTCTTGTTTAAGAAATAGCTTAAGGAACATCTTTTTTTCTATTCTCACTTTCTTCCACCTTTTATTTAAAGTCACTGATCTTTTTCTGTAATTATTATTCTATATTGCAAACACCTTCTACTAGGGTTTACAAAGACCTATAATCTGTCTCCTTTTTTTCATTAGCTGTTATCCTTCGTTGTAATTATGAAACCTAATCGCTAATTTTTCTCCTTATTTTTATTCTTTTTCTACTTATTGTTTCTGTTTTTAGGTTGTATGGAAGAAATTGGTACCTATCAACACGACTGCCTTTTGTTTTCGCTCAATATTTGTCCAATTCGTTATTTCTTAGTTAGATCTTTCCTTGGTGTAGAGAGTATTGTATTTTGATTATTACAGCGATAACGAACTAATGAGTAAACTAGCTGACGCAGCGTTGCCCTTTCCAGCATTCTGGTAGGTGTTATAAATAACTCGACTACAATGCTACCTATAGGGTCCAGATTTTGTAATTTTCATTTTTGGTACATACTAGTTAGTTGTGAATAAGTATACTAATTTGGGGCCTGGACAGCACCCGTCTATCAGATTCTAGAATAGCAATGAACCTAATAGCATGGTTTCAGTTATATGGGTTGCGGAAGTACGTAAACTACTACATATCGTCCGGTAGGTGTTGAAAGATGGGTGAAAGGCGACACCAACAGCTATCCAAAAGCAAATTAAAATAAAAAAAACCACGGCTGTCAATCTACCCAGAAAATGTTCAACAGTGGACGTTTGATCGACTGTATCACAGAAAGGTTTTTGTGCGTTATAAATATGTATTTACAATAGTTGTATTATTTTTACATATACTCGTATCTTATATTAGTTTGACTACAAACTGCATTCGTGTTTTATTTATTTATTTATTTTTTATTGCCTATATTGATCACATTGATTGATTGTCATGATTTGATAATTCTTTAAGTTTTTATTAATAATATGTGATATTGATATTCTCTTCACTATCTTGGAACAAGGTAATATCATCGAATTATGAGATAATATTCTCGTATCGTGATATATTGAAATCATTTAAGACCTTTCAATTAGTAATTAAAGACCAAATTTAAAAAAAATAATTGTAATAAAAAAACCTAATGACTGTAGCTTATAAAGAGTTTCAAGCACAGATGTTCAAGGTACTTCTTAACAAAAATACCTAAACGCCTTTATGATGCATGTGTATAATATATGTGTAGAGCCGTGCTGCAGCTTTATTAGAATAGTGACATGAATCGGTCGGCTCAACCGGGGTAGTACCACACTCTAATAGAATCGCAGTGTAAAGTAGCAGCTTGATGCTGCTGGTTTTCTTATGGTGAGTGTAAAGAAACACAGATTCTTTTTACTGGAAACGAGGTATTCCATTTTAGGCCTCACGGGTGACAACGTAATCGAAGATAGATGTTAGATGTCTATGGGCCACAGCATCCACTTACCGTCAGGTGGACTGTATGCTCGTTTGTCACCCTTATCCTATAAAAAATATATTTAATTAACCTCTTAATTAAAATATGAAGCTGCGTCGTATTCATAACGCTAGTTAGTATACGACACTAGTAGACTCCAAATCATCAGTAACTCATAAATGTCGTATTGTTTGAACATTAACAATTCTAAAATCTATTTTGTTATATTTTGCGTCAAATTACAAAAAAATGTAAATATTTCGTCCCCTGTGCATAAATATAGAAACTGCAAAAAGAAACAACCGTGAAAAATTCCTTAGTATTTTTTACGGGGTAGAGCCACGGTGCAGCTATATTAGTTGTGTGGTTGTACCACGAATGGGTCAACTCGACCGGGGACCACACTTTCTCAGAATACCAGCGTAAAATATCAGCTTAACGTTGCTGTATTTCATATGGTGAGCGTAGAGAACCAGGGACCCTTTTTACTGGAAAAGAGGCGTTCCATCTTAGTCCTCACTGGTCACAACGCATCTGCATTTTGATTCGTATTCGAGGGAAGATGTAAATATCTGTTGGCCACAGCAACCACTTACCACGGGGTGGACTGTGTGCTGGTTTGTTACCCTTATCCAATAAAAAGGAACTTAACAATAACGTATCGTGGAAACTACATATAAGTCATACAAAACTCAAACTTATAGCTACAATGGGATTATTACGATATGATTTGTCTTAATTATCACAAAGTGTTCAATACTACACACTAGCTAAACCACAGTTTGACTTCCTAATTGAAGTTTGGCGGAGTACTATAAAACTGTTCCTAATAAACAATATTACAAAGTGAAATCATAAAATAATTTTGTAACTAATAAAGACCGGAGACCCTTTTTAATGGAAACCAGGTATTCCATCTTTGCCCCCTGTGTTAACAAAACATTATTTTGATTTTTAATCCAGGATAGATAGATGTAGATGTCTATGGGCCATAGCATCCGCTTACTATCAGGTGGACTGTATGCTCTTTTATCATCATTGCTACAAAAAAGAAAAGAAAATATAATCTAAAGCAAATTCAGACAGATCGCTATTACATATGATATATTAAAGTACGTAGAACTTAATTTTATTATTAAAGTAACTTTAGAAATGTAACATTAGTTCACACTTATACGGATAACATGATAATTCGATCGTAAACTAGGTCTGGCTGCTATAAAGTTGTTATTCCCGCAATAAATTACAGAGTCACAAGTCATGGATGTGGTTCTTACCTCTGTAATAATTCAAGCAACTGCTGACTCGCTGTCTTACGGATTAAATTAAGTCTAAATTACACTCTGGCTCCACAAGAGGCACCGTAATTGAATACTACCGTTTAATTTTTCACAAGATGTAAGCGTAGTTTAAATCTAGTACTTGTGACTTATAGTATAATACTACGGTACTACTCATAGACTACGGTATAATAATATGGGAAAATTTTGTACACATCAATAAAGTTTTCATTGTGCAAATTAATGTTTACGTGCATATGTAATATGTTTACTCATGAATCGTGCAAACCAATATTTAAAAATTTAAAAGTATTAACACTTCTTTGCATATACATCCTCGAAACAGCAAAATTTGTGAAAAATTACCCTGAGTTATGAACAACTGCTGGATATGTTATCAAATCGAAACCTTTAAGGAATCTAGATAAATTAGTCATTGATAAAATACTAAAAACAGTTATCACAAAAATTGCTACGCAATGTGCATAAAATAATTTAACGCAACACCCAGTAACATAAAACTACAACCAAGGAAGCGTTTCGGGAACGAGTTGAAAAAGTGGCTAGTTAATATTTTTTTTATTCGGTTAGTGATTTGTTGGAAAAACGATATCTGTAAATTTTAGACAAATTTGTTAAAATATATATATATATATATATATATATATATATATATATATATATATTTAATTATATATTATTGATATATGAAATTATAAATATTAATAATGTGATAGTGCAAATAGTAGTACCCAAATATTTTTGTTTTATTCACTTCCTGGTTTATTTTTATATATATTTGGTCAATTATTATGCAATATCTGTATATTTATATTGTAATTTCAATTCATAATGTACTTAATAAAACATAATAACTTTAAAATTGACTGATTTTTACACCAAAAATGGTTAACGTGTTGTACTATATTTTTTACAACTGTAAAACACACACAGTTTTTTTTACTAACTGGCTCTACGGCTATGGGTTCTAGCCCTTCTGAGCCTATCATTTCTTTCGGAATCTTCATTTTTATATTCTTTTTCTTCACAATATGCTGATCCGTCACATTGCGAAGCCCTTGGGAGATTTTGACGACAGCTCGACCCAACGGACAGCTGATGCCGACAGCCACTCAAGTTCATAAGGCGCCCAAGCGATCAAAATAACTTGAGGTTTATATCGACATCAAAGCACTTGTTTCGTCGTTTTCTTTAATAGTTCAGACGCGCGGACACTTAATTCACTAAATCGCATCACTTTTACGAATCAAAATCCACTTCAAACAATTATTTAAGCGATAAAACAGGAGCGATAATCCGTCTACGGCCAAGTTCCCGCCAAAACTTGCACACTTACACAGTATGTAAAATAAATAAATATGTAATTAAAGTACAAGGTGTTGATAGATTTTTTATTCATTTAGTAGCGATGTTAGATAATCCATTAGTACTTAGCCCATATTACCTCGTGTGTGTCGTAAGAGGCAACAGAGAGAAATGAAAAAAGAGATGCGCAACAAAATATTCAAGAAAACAATTAAAAATAATAAAAAACTGCAATTGTCAATCCCACTATTTATATTCATATATAAATATATGTATTGTATTTTTTTCCCCCCGATAACCGATGGGGAAGAAAGGTTCTCGAGTGGCAGCCTCGTACCGGTAGGCGTAGTGTAGGGCGACCCCCCACTAGATGAAGTGACGACCTGGTAAGACATGCAGGAAGTCGATGGATGCAGGTGGCTCAGGACCGTGCTTTGTGGCGTTACTTGGGGGAGGCCTATGTTCAGCAGTGGACTTGTGAAGGGCTGTAATGATGATGATGATGATGATTGTATTTTGACAGGCTGTAGTTAATAAATCATTATCATAATTATTACAGCCCTTCACAAGTCCACTGCTGAGCATAGGACCCCCCAAAGAACGCCACAAAAAATGTATGATGAATATACATTTTATAGAATAAAGGGTGCATCATCCTTACAAGCGCACAGCTTAACTAATGATAATTGTTAAGTACTGTGGTCCATAGACAATTTATACTTTCCTCATATAAAAATAAAAATGCAGATGCGTTTGTAGCGCAAGCGAAACACACCGAAGCCTAAATCACGCTATCAAAATTCCGAATCATAAAACAGTATATATAGAACTTCTCCGAACTATCACATGGAGTGTTGGCCGCTCCCCGGGCAGAACACCTTGCCCGGCGGGAGATCTCCCCTTCTCCTACCTCGGCCACACGTTATTACGTTATCACGTTATCGATAAAAAAAGGGATTACAACCTATTTACCTATTGACTTAAGTGGTTGCTGTAGTGCGACTGCTGATCATGAGGTCCTGGGTTCGGATCCCGAGTCGGGCCTAAAATCAATTATTCAGTGTTTCCGTCAAGAAATTTTCAGTAACTGACCGGAGTCAGGAAGTTGCCGGTGTATCACCCCCGTGCTTCGGAAAACACGTAAAGCCGTTCGTCCTGCGCCTGATCTCTCTCCGGTTGTGTCAGTTTACCGTCCCATCGGTTTATGAGAATGAGGGTTTAGACAGTGGACCTGTGCTCCGTTCAGGCAGGGCGCCGTGACCGAAATTCTATACAGAGGAGATTATTATTATTATTAAGTGGTAACAGCATTTTATTATTGTTGCAGACCAAAAAGCGGTTCAATGCTGCTATACAGTCGCAAAAAAGTACGGTACAGGCGCGACGGATACTGCTGGAAGAAGCGAAAAGACGGAAAAACAACACGAGAAGACCATATGAAATTAAAAGTGCAGGGAACGGAGGTAAGAATTTCTGTGTCTATTATTTTACGACATTTATTTACTGGCGAATTTTATGAAATCTGTAACCTTAGTCATTTATAGCATAAATTGTTGTGATCCCTATTGATATATTTATTTTCAACCTCATTAGGTGTTTTTTACTATTCTAAGTCATCGATTGGCTACTATTCCACCTGATGCAAAGTATACAGTCGATGACTGACTTAACAAAAGCCTATGTGCTCTTGCCTTGACGACACCTAAATTGTAATCCGATGGAAATAGAGATTCTGGCAACTTATTCATTTACTGTACGCATCTGTATTTGTGTAAAATTAGATAATTGTCTGGCATTCACGTACATGCAACATCCTGTGGGTATCGTAAGAGACGTCAGAGGGAAACAAATCAGGAGATGGGGAGCAGCGTCTTCCTAATAACTACTAAAATAAAACACTGGATGCCAACACCTTGCAAGGCGTGGCAACTATGGTAAATATCCCTCCGGTGAGGCATTCTAGGGGCGAGGCTTATGTTCATCAGTGAACTTTAATACTGGTTATGGTGGATTACTTTTTTTTAAATTTGTTATCAAAAAAGTTTTTTTTATAAATTTGCTATGCGGCACAGCGAAAAACCACGCAGGTTTGTGTTGTGTGCCGTTCCATCTACATTTTTATAATACTATTTATTACAAAAATGGGGATAACACCTAATATTTGTTAAGGTAAAAACGTTTTAATTTGTACTTTATGTTAACTTTAGTAAGTTCACTTCTAAATTTATTATCCAGACCATTTATTAGGCGAGGTATTATGTATGCGCTGATGGGCTCACCGTATTTATTTTTGGATGGTATTGTATGCTCACCATATTTATTTTTGGATGGTACTTAGGGGTTGATTATACTCTTGTTTGTAAATATATGTGACAAAAGTCTAATAAATTAGTGCTTCTGTAATAGAAAATATTTGGTGTATTCGCCACACAATGGCCGTGTGAAATGTTTACATGTACTCATAATTTTGATTCCATTGTGTTAAAATACCAAATAATTTATATCGAATTCATTAAAAAGTAAAACTCGGTACTGACTTCATCAGACCCCGTTGTGGTAATGTGGTCATGATTGGATTACACATTTTACATATTTAAGCTACATTTACGTCCGTGTTAATGAGAACTCGCAAGGTCCCATTGCCGCAATTTAAAATGTTTTGATAGCAATTGTTAATGTTTTTTTAATTGATTTACAAACCAGTATTTAAAGAATAACGGGTAAATATTATATATAATATAATACAAATTTCGTTTATGTGGTTTTTTAAGGTTTGATGGTTTCGTATATTGTGTTTATGTTAATAATATAGTGCATATTTTATTTGTGTGGTTTGCTTATTTAATTTTATTTTGTCACGTACAAAAATATTATTATTACTGTATGTATAATATAAATACACTGGTAAACACAAATATACTGGTGTATAATATAAATTTACGTCTTTCCTTTTTTTGGTAAATTTCTGAAATTTTACAGCATATTCAAATAAAAACACATTTATGTTAGGGTTTACAAGTATGTTAGGGCTGAATCTGAGTGACAGGGTGAGAAATTGTAAGATAAGAGAAGAGTGTGGTATGCAAGATGATATTGTGACGAGGATTAAGAAAGGAATGCTTCGGTGGTTTGGTCATGTAGAAAGAATGAATGAGGAAAGAGTTACAAAGCAACTTTATGTTACAGAAGTGAACGGCAGAGTCAGCAAGGGAGGCCTTAGGCGAAAGTTTGTCGACCAAATTGGCGATGTATTGAAAATGAGCCAAATTAAGAATACCCTTAACTGATGAGCATGTATGCGTAGGTATATGTATTTCGAGGAGGCGAGAGAGGTGTGTCAGGATCGTGCCAAATGGAAATCTGTAGTCTCTGCCTACTCCTCTGGGTGACAGGCGTGAGTGCTTATGTATGTATGTAAAAACAAATTGAAAGTGTCTAATAGCGCAACATCAAGTAATTCCATGTTTAAGAATGGCGATAAAATGAAGGAGAGTAATTATTTACGCTATCTTGTTTAATTTGACAAAAGTCAGTAAGACTCGGCAAGTGTTTATTTCAATAGTACTTTATAAACAAAGTATTATCATTAACAACATGTTTAGTTTTCACTGCGTTTTTACCATTTTTTATCCTATTTGTTAATTACATTACATTTAATGATATATTCATTTTTAGCTAAGATCATATTGTAGTTTTGTGTATTAATAACTTGTCATGCACGATTGCCATAAAGGTACCTACGCAGATTAAAAAACTAATTCGTATCTGCAAGAATTTATTCTACGATTACGATTATTGGTAGATATATTTTATATTACAACACTATATGGCAGTAGTTATTCTGTAAATAGCATATTTTCAGAAAATAGTTTTAATTAAACATTAAAAAAAGAACCCATAAATAAAAAGAGCTGATGATCTTTAAACGACTGAACAGCATTTCTTGAAACATCAAAAGAACACCATCGATTGAAATACTTTTCAAACGAAAAAAACTAATCAAAATCGTCAAATTCATCACACACACAGATATACACAGATACGCGCTACAAACTTATTGCACCCCTTTGTTTTAATTGGGGGGTAATAAGTAAAAATAATTACCATAAAGTAATGTGTACTGTGAATTATCATATTCAAGCGAGTTTTAAATAATAGAAAGGTTTCTTGGAAATGGGAGATTCAATTTAAAAGTTCCTTTTTATCAAATAGGTTATACTTACTTTAAACCCTTCAATCCACATAAAAATCCCATGCAGTCTCGTGCGTCCGGCAAATCCCGAGTGGTCGCATGTGACCGCATCCATCCACATCACTTAAAATTTATATTTAGAGACTACTTTTCTATGAAAAAGTTTGGCATCATAAAATCTATACAAAATTCTCTATCCTGTAGTCTAAACAAAAGTCGAGTTTTACTTCATTACAAAAAGATTTTATTGTATTTTGATAACAAGAAAAAAAAACATATCATGCGAATGTCGGCAGCGTAAAAATCACAATTATTTCAATATATATTACTCGAAACTATTTACGTAAAAACATAAATTATATTCACACAAAAAATTTCATTTCACATCAAAAACACTATACTAAAACACTAATAAAACAATAGGAAAATCCAAAAATCAACACAATAACATTCACGCCAAAATGGCGTACGAAATGAACGTAGATTATAAATAAATATCTTTAGGATAACTAACTTGTTATTGCACTAGAAGATAGAACTTTTCATATTGATTCTATAATGCTAAACTTCTTCATAGAAAAGTAGTCTCTATATATAAGTATTTATGGATTAAATTGCTGTGGGTGGATGCGGTCATATTTGACCGCTTGAATTTTGACGGAATATCGAAGCAGTCAAATTTGGCCGCTTGGTGTTTGAGAGGTTAAGGTCCTTATTAAATTTAAAAAATCAATCACTAGGGTTAGGTAAGGTAAGGTTAGTGCGGGAAAAAAGAGATCAAAATTTTAATGTAACTATTTTGACGACGTTTCAGTTGTTACCACTTAAATTCGGTTTTTATTTTTTTAAATGGTAATTTTCCATTTATTCCGACAAAAGAGCATAAAAGGTAAATACTTCTACCAATAATTTGATAATAATTGGGAAAAAATATTTGTTAACTTATTCATTCATATAATTTATTTGTTTTTTTGAAGTTTAAATTATTAAAGACTTATTTTATCATGACATTATTTCCATATCAAACATCAAATTATCATTTTAATATTAAACAGGTTCTAATATTCTTGACATTACTGACTTGACTTGGATACTTATCATTATCATCGTTACAGTTCCTCGCGAGTTTACTGATGAACCTAGGTTGCTCCCAAGTAATGCAATAAAACACAGTCCTGAGCCACCTGCAGCCATCGACTTCCTACATGTCTTATTACTCCACTCTATATAGTGGAGAGCTGCATTACACTTGACTTGCCAGTACAAGGCTACAGGAGTTACGAGGCATTGGTTGTTGGTTCTTTTAGCTATATAACTGGCTCATTGCTACTTCAGCCACTGATCTGTTGGCCTCAGTTTGGTTCTACCGCGGATATCACAATTAGAATTATATCACGTAGAGAAACTTCGAGTTCTCTATAGCTTGTTGAACGACCTTGAGTTTCCTTTTATGGTCAGTGGTGAAGGACCACCTCACATGTATTCACTGGAGATGTGCACTGGTTGAACACGTTGTTTTCAAGATTTGAGGAACAGGTGACGAGAAGATATATCGTAATCTACATGACTTTCACAATGCAAGATTTTTTGGTAGTAGACTTGTGATGAGGTGTAGTGGTGCTAACGATATTTTGACGAAATTTTTTTTTTGAAAAAGCGTGACAAACTAACATACAGTCCATTTAATTATGAGAGCATGGTTCTTCTCTGTTCGAGCCATCCTGTTCGTGTTACAATGATAATATAGCTGCATTATAGAATTACCACGTTTGTAACGATACCAAAACTATATGCTTATTTTTTTAATACAAAAATTGGTATCAAAAAAAGGTATAAAATTATCGTTCAGAGAATTTTCCTACAGATGTGTTTTTTTAAAGAAAAACATTGTTATCTTTATGTATAATATTTTCACTATTAGTTTCAGAGTAAATTAATGATTTCTTACACTCGTATTTACGGGAACACTACATATTATTAAGCACCCAAAACGTCGGTAGTTAAAAATCGTACAAATTAAACACGATAAAATTCGTAAAAATGGTTTAATCAGTAAATCAATTAATTTTATCATATCATTCGTGTACTTTCGAATATTAAGTGATGTTTTAGTGTTAGCACCAATAGGTAATTTAAACAAGTTTTTAACGAGTATCTTATAGTCATACTTTGTTCTTTGTTTGATATGGAGGTGTATAACATTTTTATCTTATTTATTTTCAACTGTTTAACAGTTAATGCATTAAAACAAGTTGTAGAGTCAATCGACGCTCTGCTTCCAGAAGATGGACGATTCAATTTTACACAACTTGCAGTCAAGTACGGCCATCCGGCGGTTGAATATGAGGTTGTAACAGAAGATGGTTACATCCTTAAATTATTTCACATTCCTGGAACTAAAGGCAGACCAGTTTTACTTATGCACGGAATTGCAGAATCAGCAGATACGTGGATTATTAGAGGAAATTTATCTCTAGCTGTGGTTCTAGCTAATTCAGGTTACGATCTTTGGTTTGGCAATGTTAGAGGTAATAGATATTCACGACATCACGTCAACGTCAATCCCGATGATGACAAAACATTTTGGAATTTTAGTTTCCATGAGTATGGCTATTATGATCTACCTGCAATAATAGACACTATTCTCAACAAAACTGGTGCAGACATGTTGAACGCTATTGGATATTCACAAGGTAATACAATATTTTATGTGTTGTGTTCAACAAGACCAGAGTACAACTCGAAGATTAATGTAATGATGGCATTGGCTCCAATATGCTACCTACAAAATGTTCCACCTCCTCTTTCTACTTTGATACATTTTTCACCACTGATCTATAAATTATTTACTGTTTTGGATATGAATGAGATGTTTAATGATAATTCACTATTGAATACTTTTAAGAAATTAGTTTGCACTAGACCACAAATTGGTTACGCAATATGCATTGAAGGTTTAATGTTTCCCATAACTGGTTATGATAGTGAAGAACTTAAACCTGACTTTATTCCTGTGCTCGTCGGTCACTTTCCTACAAGTGTTTCTTTGAAGGATCTTTATCATTTCGCTCAAGTAGGATTTCGAAGGATTTTCGGGCAGTTCGACTATGGAAATGCAGGAAATATTAAAAAGTATAATTCTACTTTACCTCCCGTGTATGATTTAAAACTAGTTACAACGAAGATAGTTCTGTATGTTGGTTTAAATGATCGTCTCTCCACTACTGCCGATGTTGCCATTCTAAGATCACAACTTCCAAACGTGTTACGTTATATAGTAAGCCCTAGACGGGAATTTAATCATGTGGATGATGTTTCGGGTGAACATATGAATTACTATTTGTTTCCATACATATATGATGTTTTAGAGTCATACTAATTAAGTACAATGAATTGAAAATATTATATCAAAATAATTTACTTACGTTATTCGTTTATTTTATTGTGGACAACCTTTTTCTTTTTGATACGATGATATAATTAGCATTTTTGTTATTAATAAAAAATTAAGAATTAAGTAACAGTAAATTCATTTTCTTTGTAATAAACAATAAAAATCCCCATTCAACCTAGTACTTTACTCAAGTAAGTGCTCGTTGAGAAGGTGAATAATATTTTATACCTTTTCAATGATCATTTGTACCAAATCAATGAGAAAAATCACAAAAATAAAAATGTTACTAAATAGTAAATTTTAGGTAAAAAAATGTGTGATTTTAAAATAAAAATAACGAGTTAAATTCCTAAACTGAAAAGAGTTGGACCTAGTGGGTCACTGTGTTGTACATCGACAGCAGAATCGATAATAGGTTTTTGTAAATTACAAGTTAGTATTTTGACTGTGAAATTTCCAAACGTAATGATAAATTTCGGGGTATTTTTATCGACTTCTTTCAGCAGGGTAACCATAGCTATAGATAAAAAGCATTACTTAGGTCAACCTTTACAAGATCTTCTGTTTTAGGGCTTTTTAAAAATGTAAGCACTGAATATCTCACAGCCACATTTAATGTCAAACTAGTTGAGTAGGCTGAAATTTTGTATTAAAGTAATAATAATAATAATAATAATAAAATATTTATTCATTGACCAAAAGTAATAAAATATTTAAAAGTTAAGCTGATACAAAAATGATATTTTTAGAAGGACAATGAAAGGGTTCTGACTCAGCATGTGTTGCAGAGAATCTACAACGCTGTTATTCTCTCAGCACCCATATACCTACTTAGTGAGCTAGAGTATAACAGTACGCGTACATCACTGATACAAATACAAATAGCTTTTAGTGTTAAATTATTTATTTATTCATTCAGCCAGTACAAGAACTATATAATTAACCAGTACAAGTTATCATAATATTTCTATTAATAAATTGATAATTAATATACATGTACAAGAGATAAATATAATACATATAAACAAAATATAAACATAAACATCAAAAAAAAATAATATTAAAAGTAAGTACTACAGTAGTGTTTTATTTATTCGGACTAATTATAATAATTATGCTAGAAGCTAGAACAACGTAATGGTTATTAAAAAGAATATTGGTAGTAAATGTAAGTTACATAATTGCATATAACTAAATATTGGATATTCAGCCCCTGCCGATTTTTTTATATTTATGACATTTTCTGCGTACTTAATAAATACTCTTTGTATTTTCTCTTAAAACTGTTCTTATTTGCTATGACTCGTAATGGTGGTGGAAGATCATTCCAACATTTTGTGGCCATAAATTTGTAACTACCACGAAATGCTGATGTCCTATGTTGAGGTATGCAAAGTACTTTTGCACACTTTCGGATACCGTACATATGTTGATTTTGTCTCCACTGAAGCTTTTCATATAGGTATTCTGGTTTCTTTGTTTTTATCACTCCAAATAGCAGGGAGGCATAAAATAATTTGAGACGTTCCTGCATTTTAAGCATATTAGAGGCATTAAAGTAAGGTGTAACAGATTATGTGCCTGCAACATATTTGAAGTAAAGTGTATAAATCTGGAAACAACGGAAATAGGACGGATACCATTATCCTTTTTTTTGAAAACACATCTTGCTCCATATAAGTAGGGAATTAAATTAGGATTAACCTTACCATAAAGCGTAAATACACATATATTTGTCATGTCATTAAGAAGTACTCTGCCAATATCAACGGCAGAGGCGCTTAAAATATACCATATGTGCAGATGCCGTAGTTTGAAAATGATGTAATTACTTCTAAAGTATTTTCAGAAAACTGTTAAAGGTTGCCTAGAAGTATTGGCAGGCAGCGGTAAACTCTGAGAACGATTGACCGAAGGATACTTCTGACGAATGTCTTAAAGAGTCTCGATATTACGAATACAGGATCACCCCCGTCATTGCATCAGACCACAAATCCTTGATAAAGAACACCGATTCCTTCCAAGGATGATTCGTGAGGCTATTAAAATCAAAAAAACATCCTAGTTTCAATAGAGAAGATGGCTGGATGTACCAGCTGCTTGGGATCTTATAATTAATAAAATAAAATCTCTACCCAAGCATACAACTGCACGACTTCAAGATACTATAAGTTCGTACTGCATAGATCGGAACAAAATTAATAATTTTAATCTATGGTAACCGCGGTTAACTATGACATCTGGACGATCAACATCTCAGTACCCCCCGTGACCATGGGTACTGTAAAGTGCTCGAAACGTCGGGTGTATAAAGAAGTTAATATACGTGACCATTTCCGGAAATAAAGTTGTTACCTAATTGATTTAGCAATAAATTGAAGGTTAAGGCGCTGTATGGCAAGCTGTGCCGTCTTGTTGGAACCAAATGTCATCGAAGTTCAGCTGATTAATTTTTGGAAACAAAAAATCAGCTAGCATACCTCGATAGCGTTCACTATTCACGGTAACGGTAGCTCCTTCCTCATTCTGAAAGAAATAAGGACCGATAGTGCTACCAGCGTGTAAACCGCAACAAGTCGATTTTAATAGATGTAATGGTGATTTGTTATCATCATCATTACAGCTCTTCACAAGTCCACTGCAGAACATAGGCATCCCCCAAGGACGCCACAAAACACGGTCCTGAGCCACCTGCATCCATCGACTTCCTGCATGTCTTACCAGGTTGTCACTCCATCTAGTGGGGGGTCGCCCTACGCTACGGCTACCACTCGAGAACCTTTTCCCTATCGGTTGTCGGTTTTTGGAGCTATATGGCCGGCCCAGTGCCACTTCAGCAAACTAATCCGTTGGGTTATGTCGTTTACTCTGGTTCTACTGCAGATATCTTCATTTGTAAGTTTATCACGATGAGAAACTCCGAGCATAGCCCTCGCTGAGCGACCTTGAGTGTCCTTATATGGTCAGCAGTGAAGGACCACGTCTCAGATCCCTAAGTCATCACTGGGAACACGCTTTGTCAATGCTGGGAGCACTGGTTGTACAGTCTACTTTTCAGGTTTTGAGGTATACCTGACGAGAAGATGTGTCGTAATTTCCCGAACGCTGCCCAACTGAGCTGAATCTGTCGATTTTCCGAAATTTGTTTCCTGAAGTTTGAGCGAACATTTTCCAATGCATCGGTGAAGAATTTCGGGGATATAACGTCACTCTGTCTTACAACTCTCTGCAGTTGGATAGGTTTTATACTCTGGTTCTATACTCGGATAGTCATCGTAGCGCTACTGTGCAAACACATCACCACTTCGATATACCGGCAGTCAACTTGGCACCGCTGAAGGAACTGTAGGACTGCCCAAATTTCAACAGAATCAAAGATTTGTCATAGTTCACATACACAAGGCAGAATGGCAGAATCAACTTTTTGGTCTCCTGTACAATCTGCCGCAGAGTAAGTTTGTGGTCTATGGTACTGAAGCCTTTGCGAAAACTGGCTTGTTCGGGAGGCTGGAAGTAGTCGAGTCTGCGTGCGAGACGATTTGTAATGACTTCCGAAAACAGCACGTAGACGCGGCTCAGAAGAGAAATCGGTCTGTAGTTCTTCAAGCGTTGAAGAACAAGACCACCACACTTCTGCTTCACGCCTCCGGAGTAGTGCCACCATGAAGGACGGAATTAAAGAGCTTCTGAAAGACTTCAAGTACCGGTTTTCCATCTGCTTTCAGAAGCTCTGCTGTAATGCTATCTTCACCTGGGGCCTTGCCGTTAATTCTTGCTGGTGGTTCGTTAACGGTATTAGAATTATCTTCGCTCCATATACGGTAATTTCGCTTATTCTCAAAGTCATTTAACCTGAAATGAGCTTCATCACTAAACACACTTCTTCAATTAAATGCTCATCTTCGGCCAGTTTCAAATTAGCTCAATCAGCAAAAATGCGACGTAACAAATGGTTATTTGGCTTTAATTCTTGCAAGGGCTGTATTTAATAGGCACATAAGCCAAGATCCTTACGTAAAATTTTCCACGTAGTCGAAGGACAAAAGCTAACAAAGTGAGAACGGTGACGTATCGATATTTCGGCATCTTCTTCACCACTTCGCGCTACACCAAAAATATTCTCTTCGGTACGCACATTTCTTTGTCTTGTTTGATTTTGCATATTTATAAGAGATTCTTTTAGGGGCAGACTTGGAATGCAGCTTGTAGAAATCATGAATCTTATATACCTAAACAGACGACCAATTGCTCCGAACATTTTGATAAATCATATTTTATACCGCAAGCTATCAATAAGCTAAGTAGGCTAAGTAGGTTAGCCGATACTGCTGTATCAAACTTGAACTTGTGGGAGGAGGTAATTGTCTTGCTGTAATTATATCAATAGATTAAATATTATTATTATTACCCTCGACATTAATATTTTTCTTCTTGAATTTTTTTAGAATTTCGATAAGTTTGAAATAATGACTTCCTATATTTACGCGAACTAATCTTACGGATATAAAATAAAACTAATCTTACGGATTTTGACTTTTTAATTTCTGATATTTTGGATGCTTCACAGTACGACGTTTAATGTCGCGAAAGCGACCATATCTTAGCGAACAGACTATACACCAAGGAAAATTAAACTAAAAAAACGTCTCGAAATAAAAAGCAATAACATAAAAAGGCTTCATCGTAGAAACGGTTTTTAAAGAAAAAGTTACAAGTTTGCAAGAAATAATAGATTACAACAAATAAAAAAAAAACAAACAAGTCCTAGAAAAGATAAGAATTGAATAAATCGAACTTTTAAAGAGACAATTACTTAAGACTAGAAAACTGCCCAGAACTAAATATTCCCCAGATTTAAGATGTATCGCCCTAACACTTAACCACCTAACACAAAGTACGTACGAAACGTACGTACGAAAAGCGCTGACGGCATTAAAATTGAGAACGGAGAGTAACCCTGATAAAAAAATTATTGTACCTTGGTTAAGGATGAAATGAAAATCAAGCGATTGACGGAATACCACGACAGCCAAGGGCATTATGGATATGTGTACTGTGGGTTCTATATTATATCTGATAATTCCGATGAAGCTACTGACGCATTAGTGTTTTTATAGATCGGTATAAACACAACATGGAAAGTACCCATATCCAACTTTTTGATTAAATTTGAATTAAATTCTGAGTTTGATCATTCTTTCAAAAAATGGTCATATTGTATTAACTAATAAAATAAGGGGCTATAATGCTGATGATATATTGATGAGATTTTTTTTTTAAATAAATGTTACAAATGAGCACACATCTATTGAATAATAAGCGGGTGCATGTAGCTGCTATTTCACGCGGGTATTTTGTGAGAGTGGTATTTCTCTGGTCGAGCTGACCCATTCTTGCTGCAATGATAATAAAGCTGCAGCATGGCTCCACTTATTTTATAACAATACTAAATTTTTGTGCCGATATTGATAAGAAAATTGGTATCAAAAAGAATTTGAGAATTTTCCTTCAGATGTGTGTTTTTAAAGTAAATTATTGTTATCTCAATATTTTTACTAATAATTAAAAAGTAAAATTACAGTTTTATAGTAGTAATACCCGCGGCTTCGCTCGTGTGGGCTTCCGTTGGAGAACATCATTAATACTGCTCCCTACCAAAATCAGAAAAGTTGGATCACTTGTAGAGTCGCCTCGTTACCACGTTTGATAGTCAAGTGATATCTTTTCAATTTTTAGAGACTATTAGACGTAGATTTTTTTAGAATTGCATTAATATCGTACATCAGTCAAGACTTCCGATGTATCTTTAAGAAGGGTAAATTATCTTTGATTCAAACTTACGTTATTTACTTTTTACTCTTTACTTTATTTATTCATAAATTAAGGTAATATATATATATATATATATATATATATATATATATATATATATATATATTTTTTTTTTAATATAATAATTTTGAATGATGACTGATGATGACTGACTGATCAAATATTCATGATAAAATCAATTCTGAGATCTGGTCGCGACTTATATAAAAATATCTTAAAATATAGTATAAGTGTAATGAGAGTTTTGCAATAATCGTAAGCAAACCAATTTTAATCAGTTCATTTTTATATATTACTAATTAAACTAACCATCACCTGAATTTTCATAGATTTCACTATTATCTATTTAAACTATTACTATTAAAATGAAACAATGAAAAACTTAAAGTAAATATTAGAACTTTCAAATCATTTAATAAATATAATTATTTAAACATATAAATATAAGTTATTTATGTTATTTAATTTATTAGTAAGTAACTGATAAGTGATAACTGAAGGCAAAATATACTTTTTATAACAAGTGGCGCTTTTTAGAAAACGTACAATGAAGATCTTTGGCGTAGTTTAAAATTATTACATAACAGTTAAAATAAACAAATTTTAAGCTTTAATTATAAATATTATATTCATTAAAAACACTACCTTATCCCGCTTAACTAACAGAATCATACATAGTAGAAGATTAACATCTAAAGAAAGGAAAATATTTAATCCTCCTTTTTTAAGTACCGTAATCGGATAAAAATTCTCTTCTATAAGTTTCCGCGGGTCACTAAATACCAACATACAAAATTTTATGTAGATCTGTTTAGTAGTTTTTGCTTGAATCGTAAATACACAGATAGACAGAAAGACAGACAGACAGACAAACAAAAATTCTAAAAACCAATCATTTGGCTTCAATGTCCTTTATTTAGTCCCATGAACTTATTCTTTCCAGGAAATATTAGAAATACAGACACGACTTTTCTACAGATTTATTATATGTATAGATGATATTCGTGCACTTTCGAACATTAAGTGATTTATGTTCGAATGAGTTTTATGAAATATTTTTAAATATACAAGAGTATTTTATAGTCGTGATTTGCTCCTTTCCGACATGGCCGCGTCCAACTTTTTGATTACATTGATTTTCAACTATTTAACAGTTTATGCATCAAAAGAAATCGAAGAGTCAATTAACGCCCTGCTTCCAGAAGATGCACGATTAAGTTTTACGCAACTTGCAACCAAGTATGGCCATCCGGCGATTGAATATGAGGTTGTAACAGAGGATGGTTATATCCTTAAATTATTTCACATTCCTGGAAATAAAGGCAGACCTGTTTTACTTATGCATGGAACTGCAGAATCAGCAGATACGTGGATTATTAGAGGAAATTTATCTCTAGCTGTGGCTCTAGCTAATTCAGGCTATGATCTTTGGTTTGGTAACGTTAGAGGTAATAGATATTCACGACATCACGTCAGCCTCAATCCCGATGACGATGACGCATTTTGGAATTTTAGTTTACATGAGTATGGCTTTTATGATCTACCTGCAATAATAGATACTATTCTCAACAAAACTGGTGCAGAAATTTTGAACGCCATTGGGTATTCAGTAGGTAATACAATATTTTATGTGTTGTGTTCAACAAGACCAGAGTACAACTCCAAGATTAATGTATTGATGGCATTGGCTCCAATATGCTACCTACAAAATGTTCCACCTCCTCTTTCTACTTTGATACAACTTTCACCACTGATCTATAAATTATTTACTGATTTGGATATAAATGAGATGTTTAATGATAATTCACTATTAAATACGTATGGGAAATTTATTTGCACTAGACCACAAATAGGTTACGATATATGTATCAAAAATTTATTATTTCCCATTACTGGTTATGACAGTGAAGAACTTAAACCTGCCTTTGTTTCTGTATTAGTTGGTCACTTTCATACAAGTGTTTCTTCGAGGGATTTGTATCATTTAGCCCAAATAGGATTTCGAAAAACTTTTGCGCAGTTCGACTACGGTAGTGCAGGAAATATTGAGAAGTATAATTCTACGTTACCTCCCGTGTATGATTTGAATCTAGTTACGACAAAGATAGTTTTATATGTTGGTTTAAATGATTTTCTCGCCACTGTGGCTGATGTTGCTATTTTGAGGTCACAACTTCCAAATGTGGTACGTTATATCATAAGCCCTAGATGGAAATGTAATCATTTTGATCATGTTAACGGTGAACATGTGAATGATTATGTGTTTCCATACATACGTGATGTTTTGGAGTCATACTAATAAAGGATATTGAGTTGAAAGTATTTAAAAAAAATTAATTGCGAATATTATTTCGTGGTATAGTTATCAGTAATGAATTAAGTTAACAATAACGTAAATATTTTACTTACTACTTTTAAAGTAACTTTTAAAATTTTCCTTCTAAAATTTGTTTAATAATCAGGTGTAAAAAGGGTTATTCATTACAAACCATACTAAAATTTTACCGTTAGTTTTAAAGTGTATTTGATTTTAAAGCAATATAATATATAAAAGCGTATTTAATTTCTAAACGAATAGTTTTATTTTATATACAGTTCTCTTGCGTAAATGTTAATAAATTTGATGGCAAATAAATGTATGTGTGAATTGTTTATAAGTGTATTATTGTGACACCCTTGTTGTTTTAGTCTCGGTAGCTCAGGTGGTTAGCGCTTGATGAAAAATTCACAACATGCGAGCAAGCTGAATTTGATCCCCGCCGGCAACAATGAAATTGTTAATTTCAATTTAAGTGCTGATTTGCCATGTGCTCTGCTGTGAAGGAAAACGTCGTGAGGAAACCTGTATTTTTGAGAAATAAGAAAAAAAATATTTCGAATGCATGTGAAGTTCGCTAACACGCATGGGGACAACGCGGCCAAGACTTCCTTGCCATAGAACCTTGTAATGTAAAATGCACATAGACCGATGACGAGTTTTTTCCCGGTGTCACTGAGTTTGGGTATGAGTACCTCAAATCAAACAGTTTCAAAATGTAAATATATTAGATTTCTACGGTTTGCACAATTCTCGGATAAAGCAAAAGCTGGAATAAATGGGAGGGACGGTTGGATGTGTGAAATGATTCTGAGTGGTTGCAATAATGCTGCGGCAGCTTTATTGGGATATGTAAATGCACAAATTTACGGAAATTACGTTATTATCATATACATTTTTACAATGGGTGTATATATCTTATTTTTATTTATCTTATATTTAGAAAGATTTACTGAGTTCGTATGTGCCAAAAATAACTGGGTTACTGATGTCGACTCTGCATCATAATTAAGATTACCGATTTCATTATAGGTGATTATAAAACTGTCTGTCTTAAAACTACAAAAATGCTGCAAATAAATAGGCCTGCGTCATAAATTAGGCAAAGTTACCAAAGCCTTTTTTTATATAACTGCTCTACTATTTTCCTAAAAATTTTTTCTCTAGGTGAGTTTCATACTATTATTAAAAAAATTGATTGCTAAGTTAATTACCAACAACTATTCGAAATTATCCGATATCATAAAACTCAGTGATTCCCGTTAAATTATAGCATTTGTTTCCTTAAAGTAAGTTGAGGATATGTATATAAAATTACTAACTTATTAATTACGGTGTAATTGTGGTGTAAGAAAATCTACTACCACGTGTAATACCGTGGGTGTCGAAGGCGATAGAGGCAAGAGAAATAGGGAGATGGATAGCAGTAATCGTCCTAATAACGACCGAAATAAATAACTGCAGTTGCTAATGCGCTTCCTAATCGTGGCGACTATGGCTAATATCCCCTCCACCCCCACCCATGATGCAACCTATGGGGGAGGCCTATGTTCAACAGCAGATTTTGATAGACTCTAACAGTAGCGGTAAATATTACTAAAATCCAGTTTTATATATCCTCAATTTCTCATTTAAATACGGATAATGTTTCAATGTTCTTTCTTAATCAAATAAAATAATTAAAAATGCTTGAATAAAATTCTTCTAATGTAAAAAGCATAAGGAACGATGCACATTATTGTATTTTAAATTACCTTTTTTTACTATTTAAGACGACCTTTTTCCACTTAATAATGAACAATGGAATGGGAAATCCATTCAACGTGATCGCTTAGAAAAATTTGTGACCGTTTTCAAGGTATGTTTTGCACGAATTTTGTACCAAATCAATTAAAACAAATCCAGAAATAATAAAATAAATATTTATAAAAGGAAATGAGTTTCAAATTAAAAAGGATTTCTAAATAACTTAATTGTTATTTAGAAGTAGGGCAGTTACTATAACAGAGATGAAAATTAGATTTTTCGATCGATAGATGGGGATTGATGAGTACACAAATGAAATCGTTCCAATTAAGTGTGGGACTGGAGCGGTTCCACTAATTGGACTCGATAACAGAGTTTGATGTATTTGTTCGTATTTTATTATAGCGGGACACGTTTGTAGATTCGGCGGCAATTGAATGGCACAAATATTTATTATAGTTTCTATTATAGTTTCCATATTTTTAAAATTAATTTAAACTCTTATTTTTTCGGCCGTCGCGGTCCATTTGTTTATATTTAAGAAGTGAATATATTTTTAAATTGTTAATTTTAAGAAGTAACGGCTACGAAATAAGCATATACCTACATATATTGTAGATCAAAATCAAATTACGGAAGCGTTGTCACCCTGAAGTTAAAAATTGAATGTCAATTATAGTATAAATTATCTGTTACCCGCGGCTTCGCCCGCATGGTCACTGGGAAATGAACTATCCATTGCTTTTTGAATTGAAAGAAAACTGAGTTTTATAGATTTGTCAGAGATGCAACCATTAAAAGGAAACTGAACAAATTTGATTCGTCAGCCTATTTACATGTTTTTCAGCCTATTTCCAAACGCAGCGTATAGGAAAGCATGAAAATAGCCTATTTATTCCGGATGGAAATAGGATATTTTTTAATTATAGGAAACTGAGCATAATTATCCGTCAGGGATGCAGACTTTTGAAAAGAAACTGAGCTTAATTGATTCATCAGAGATGCAGATTTCTGAATTGAAAAGAAACTGAGCCAAATAAAAGATCCGTCAGAGATGCAGCCTTTTGGGTTGAAAGGAAACTGAGATCAATAGGTCCGTCAGAGGTGTAGCATTTGGAATTGAAAAGAAACTGAGCTAAATAGGAAATTTTGAAATGAAAGGGAAGATCTGTGGGAATTCTGATTAATTGATTGTGGGAATTTTGGAAAAAGAACTAACTGAACACTATTTTAAGATGCTACTGTACACAATGTTATATGTTTTCCTATTCGGGAAAGAATGTGGAGATTCTGGGCTTTTGACAAACGCGAACATGCTACATACAGCTGACCATGTGAGAAACACGGTTTTTCTAAGTTGACCCCCGCTACCATCGTAACGTTTGCCCTTGCGCTTTATTAATTGTCATTGCAAATCTGAGCTTAATAGGGAACTGCAACCTTTTGAATTGAAAAGGAAGATCTGTGGAAATTATAGGGATCCGTGTTATAATAACATTTTCACCTTTTGCTACGCCTGTCCAATTGTAGCACCGATTATTTTCCGTCCAAGATGTGTCACACGCAGCCTTGTCCCATTACATAACCGAGGAGCATCTAAATTTCGCATTAGCATGACTGGGACGCCTAACTATTATTGAAGCTTATGTGAGGGTACACCTGACAACTCTAGAGAATTTAGAAACTCTGCGGGATATGAAGTGCTCTGTTCTGTGTCCATAACTGTGTCTACTGACAAATACTCTGTTATTTCTTCTACTACTTCGCTTAATATATCTGAATTTATTTTGTTAACGCTCTCTTTTTTTGGTGCAAGAATCGCCCTTTCACATAACCATTTGTCTTCATGCATGTTGTTCGTTAAATCTGAATAAACGCTCGCAATTAATTCGGAATGACTCTCCTACGCCTGTCCAATTGTAGCACCGATTATTTTCCGTCCAAGATGTGTCACACGCAGCCTTGTCCGATTACATAACCGAGGAGCATCTAAATTTCGCATTAGCATGACTGGGACGCCTAATTTTTATTGAAGCTTATGTGAGGGTACACCTGACAACTCTAGAAAATTTAGAAACTCTGCGGGATATGAAGTGCTCTGTTCTGTATCCATAACTGTGTCTACTGACAAATACTCTGTTATTTCTTATACTACTTCGCTTAATATATCTGAATTTATTTTGTTAACGCTCTCTTTTTTTGGTGCAAGAATCGCCCTTTCACATAACCATTTGTCTTCATGCATGTTGTTCGTTAAATCTGAATAAACGCTCGCAATTAATTCGGAATGACTCTGTACTAAATTACAAAAAGCAGCCCTCAGCATCCGTTTCCAACCGCCCATCGCCAATTTTAATAGTGTGTCAGCATGTGATATAATTTTACAAATGCACTCTCATATTCATAGTTAAACTGAATTTTGTCACCTTGTTCCATAAAATAGACGACTTGAGGCATGCTTTAATTTCATCTGCAGGTGTGCCCTTTTGAATGACAGATAAAGTTTGGCGAAAGTCACCAGCCAGTAAAAGCACCATTCCTCCCATTACATCGGTATTGCTGCGCAAATCCTGGAGCGTTCGATTTATTGCTTCTACAGCTTTTTTTATGCGACATTGTACTTTCGTTCCACACTAAAAGTTTGCATTGTCGTAGCATTATACCTCGTGCACTATTTTTGCTAAAGTTGCAGATCGGCGATTCTTCCTGGGCTAGATTTAGAAGGAGTTTTAGAACAGAATGTGCAGTGCGGCCCCCGCTTAGCAGCGTGGCGGCTATACCGGAGGAAGCTACGGCCACAGCAATGTTTTTATCTTTCCGTACTTGCGCTAATAATAAATTTAAGAAAAATGTCTTCCCAGTTCCTCCAGGGCATCTAAAAAGAAAAGTGCACCATTTCCAGATTCAATTTGTCCAATACTTTGTCAAAAACTCGTTTTTGTTCGGGAAGCAAGCGGGGTACAAATTCGGCTACTTGCTGCTGCAAAGCTGGTATATCGTAGTTTGTTTCACGTATAATTTCATCACTTAGTTCATTTTCGGTTGTTCGCTGAGGGCTTATAATTCTCAAGTTACTTAACTTTTTGCCTACCATTGCCATTACTTTATCTTCAATTTTTCCAAGTGCTTCATTATAAATGTGTTCATTATATGTCATGTTCGCGTGTGTCTGCTGTAAACTTCGCAAAATATCTTCCACCATGTACTCTTTATATTTATCCCACAATTCATGTGCA